TTTTTTTTTCTCAAATGCCTCCTAAATGTCAAATTAAAAAATATCGAAGGACAGATGAAATTAGCTAAAAAGTTATATCGGTTTGTAGGAATATTTGATAAAACAAGAAGAGATAAATTAAAAATAACTTACTGTATTTCGGTGGCAGATAATGATCGAGCATTAATGATGACAGATTATCATCATCTTCATCATCTGAATAAAAGGAAGGAAGTGAATCTAATTCCGGATAATAACGAAGTATTTCTTTCCCCAGAAAAGCTTCCATCGATAAGTTTCTCTCATCCTCATTGTCATGTTTCTTGCTAAAATTGAATGAGTGTAAAAGAGTGATGCAAAAAGCTAATGAAGAATAGCCGTATTAATTATTAATTATGATTAATAATTAAAGTGAGTGTGAAAAATTATCCTATGATACTAATGAACAGCAAACAAAATTATAACTTTTAAGATGCTTTTAAAAAGCATGCAACTAAAAGTTTACACTAATTTTAGAAATAAATTCCAGCAAAAGAATTATTTATATATGCAAATTAATTTGTCATAAATTATGCACTTAAATGTTACATCGATTATTTATATTACATTATAAATTATATTTCGTGTAATATATACATATTATATACGTTGAATGATTGAAAAGAATTAGGAAATATGCTTTTCTCATACATTTTATTCTTTTTGATTTTTTAGTACTAAATTGAAAGCACTTACGTCTCCGTGGAACTACGTGACGTTGGTGAATTTCTTTCAGATTTTGATGAAACATATTCTTGTCCAATCAGATATCCATTACATAACTTCAGATGTTGCAATTTTTTCGGGATTCGCAAATGTTGCTGCTGGTATTGTTGCGAAAAAGGAAATTCTTCGTTGGTGCTATTTTTTTTTTCCTGACCTTAAACTTACTCATATCATTTCATTCCAAAATATAGCAGCTAATTTATTATTTTGTAAAAGTTTAACAAAAAAAAAATACTATTTTCAAGCAAATGATAATTTCGATGTAATTTCGCTGCATATTGGATTTCATCCTTTTCAATAATACATTCCATTTCATCACAGCTATTATTTTTCAGCGAATTTATCGGAGTATTATCATTTTTATTTTCCTTGAATTTCTGAAATTTAATATTATATGACAAATTCTGTAACATTAAAAAATTTAAGCCAAATTTTGACAAATATCTTTTTTGATGAACGAATTATAAATATAGTTGTACAAATAAATATACCGTAGGTATAAAAATTAATTTGAAATTTTCAAGTAAAAATTTACGATAAATCATTGAATTAACTTTTAAATTAAAAGGAGGAGAAAGATCCGATATGAGTATACAAATAAATATTTATCCAATCAGAACATCATCACTACATACTAGAACTATGAACTAGAACTATGAACTAGAACTATGAATTAGAACTATGAATTAGAACTATGAA